ACCAACAATACGAAAACTTAAATAACTAGAAAGGACGTATGTGGGTCCGGGGACGGTGTGGGGNGGGGGGGGGGTTGGAGCAAATGCTGATAATGAAGAGAAGAAAAACGCCCCAAATCTAATCAAAGTCCACAATACACGAAATATGCGTGCTATTCTTTTGTGTATATTAGGACAACAACTACGCACTGAGCATAGAAAAATTAAAGGGAAGTTAAAGAAGGGACAAACAATCTAGGAAGATAAAACCCAATGAGCTAGGAATAAATGCAGTACAAAAAGGCACCAAGGGTGTGACCTACTAGTCAATTAAGTTGAAGAATAACCATGAGTTTGCAGGTTCAAATCCCAACGGCAAAACCCAAGCCTTGGTGGCCAGAGTTATTCGGTACATGTGTTGGTGGTAGGTAGTCGAGGTGCATAGAAGCTGGTCCACACACCATGGTCATAAAAAAAATTGCTCAACAAAAAGATAGTACTAAGCGACAATCTATAATACAAAGCATAGAAGGAGAAAAAAAAAAAAAAAGAGTAGTACTTCAATGAGCCAAAGTAAGAACCTTGTAACACCAAAAAAGGACCAACTTTATCCTTCTTCGCACATAACAAATCAAATTACCAAAATCCAAATTGATCAAAACAAGAAATAAAATAAACACAAGCACAATCATAAAGGTACAGTAATAAAGAGCCGGGGGGGGAGGTGTATTACGTCTAACGATTTTGTTGGTGCCCTTGATAGAGTAAGAATCAAGGTCTTTTTTTCCAGGTTTAGTCTTAGCCATCAATCTTTCAGCTCAGTCTTCAAGAATGAACAAAACCCAGCAATAATATCTTTTCTCTTTTTTTTAAGTGAAAATGAATGACCCACTAAAGTAAATTTCCTGGTGATGACAACTGTAAAAATGGAAATGGGTAACAGTTGAAAAGCTCCTTTTTAGTAGAAAGAGAGGAGCAAAAACCCTAGTTGCTGGAAAATGGGGGGTGGAGAGTAGAGCAAAGGACTGGGAAAGAGAGAGAAGAGGAAAGAGAAAGCGCATGAGAAGTCGGAGACACAGAGGTTTTGTTCCTATACGTGCGACAATTTAGGACCCTGCGTGCAACCCCGGATTCAATTGTATATATGAGATATTTGCACTTTTTACCCATAGTTTTTTGTAATATCGAATATTCCCGTTTGAGTTTTCTAAAGGCGTAATGGCTTCCTGGCCACTTAAACTTGTAGGTCTTTTGAAAGCCGATACACAAACTTTGAACTTTCCCATTTAAACACTCAAACTCATGAAAACCTTAACTAATAAACACATTTTACCCTTGACCTTACGCGCGTGTATTACACATTCGCTAACGTGTCCATCCAGTCAGCAAATGACCAATGGGACTGTTACACGCCAAAGGAGCGAAAATAAACCCCAACCGATTGGGGTCCCGCCTCTTTTAATCGGTAGACTAACCAAAACACACACTTTTCGTCTCTTTTCCTCTATCTAACCAACCCTCCCCTCTTAAACCTAGGTTAAGTAATGGCCTTAAAATTAGTCATCCCCTTCCAAAATTAATCGTAATCACTCCAAAACCAATCGATTGGGGTCCCCACCCCCCCCCCCTCTTTTAATCAAAAGACTTCGTTTGGTCTCAACTTTCGATTCCAGTCACGTTATAGGATCTGAAGGTTAGTTTGTTTCTTTTGATGTCGTTTTCTGTTTTGTCATCTAATTTCTTATGAAATAATGTGGGTAATGTGTGATAGTCAAAGCTATTTTTGTCTGCATGCACAAATTATGATCTGTTATTTTGGGATCTTATATTAGGATTTTGGGGAAAACAGTCGAATATTCACTCTATTTTAGAGGTTTTGTCTTTTTCATGACTGATATGGCATTTGGGGTTAAAAAATTAGGGCTTTTGTCTGCATGCACAAATTGTGGGATTTTATATTAGGGTTTTGGGAAAAACACTCAAATATTCACTTTATTTTAGGGGTTTTGTCTTTTTCATGAGTGATATGGCATTTAGGGTTAAAAAATTAGGGCTTTTTTGAATATCAAAATATTCTTGTCTCCCACTTTGTTAAAGTTTATGGCGTTTTAAGGTTAAAGTGTATCTGACTTGCCACACACCCCCACCCCCACCCCCACCCCTTTTTTATAGGTTTCAATGGCTGTCTATGTGAAATTACAGTTTCATCATCTAGGGTGGTTAGTGGTTGACCCCTTTATGAGGTATGTAAATGGGCAAACTTGGCCGGTTGTTCTTCAAGATGACATTGATGAATTGCATAATTCATTTTCATGATTGGGCTAAGGATATGGGGTACTTAACGGTAGATAAATATGCATGTAAAATTAACCAAAAAGGAGAATTTAGATTTCTGAAATATGATGCTGATGTGTTAGCTTTGTGTGAAGACCTTAAGGATGGGGATTTTATTGATGTGTATATATGTCACACAATTAATACACCATGAATTGATTTGGACCTAGATGAATTGTTAAGTAGTGGTGGTTTAAATGTGGACCACACCGATGTTCAGCCATGTGGCTTTAATGAAATGCCATATGGGCAAACAAGTGATGTTAATGCTAGGGCAACACACTCACCTAACAATGATATAAATAGGGATGATAACACTCATTGGAAGGGTAAAAAGAGGGCTGTTGAAAGTGATTCTGATACAGAAGAGTCTAGTGAAGATGAAGGTGAGTTCTATAACTTTCATTTAGCAACTGATTTTGAGGGTGATGTTGAGGGTGATGCTGAGGGTGATGAGGTAAGTACTGAGACTGAGGATAAGGATTACGAGGCTATTTCTGAAGAAGATGATGATGATGATACAGATGAGTCATTATATGGTGCTGATAAGGATATTGTTGGAGAGACAAGTGACCTAGAAACTGAAGTTGTTGTTGCTAGACATGCTAAAGTGAATGCAAGGAGTAGTAAATTAAGATCTAGTAAAGTTAATACTGATGAGATACCTAGTGGACCTGTAGGTATAGACCCTGGTTTTGAAGACATGTACAAAGATAGGGGATCCAAATATGCTGGAAAGTTGGGAGGAGATGAGCAATATCTGGACAGTTCAGATCCAGGTAGTGAGGATACAGATGATGAAGTAGTTGAAGAAGACGGGGTGCATATGTTACACCCCATGTTTTCGTACGTAAAAGTATGCCATAAGTAAATTGATGAAAGCTCGGAGATGAGATATTACATCCCGTATTTTCGTACGTTAAAGTTTCGTCGTAAGTTAATCGATGTAAGTTCGGGAATGGGATTAATTTGAGATTATTAGCATTATGCTATTTCAAACAAGTGATGAGTAAATTCTTGAAGGTGAGAGGGTAAGCAAATCGAAGAAAGTGAATTTCGTCGAAGTTTGACATTTTGAGATAAAATACAGTCCGAGCTAAAATACCGGTATTTATGGACTAGTACCATACAAGGTACCACATGGCCATGATGGTAAGGTGTATAAAGTGTATTAAAAGTAAGTAGTATTTTAAGTAATTTAAAATAATTCTTAATTAGGTGGATAATTGAGTAATTAATGAATTTTAGTGGAAGATTAATTAAAAACCTTTGGATAAAGTTGAATCCCCTACCGTGGCAGCCAATAAGAGCTAAAGGAATGACTCTTGAATTAAGTAGCAACATGGCACATTTGGAAGACTAAGGGGCTAAGTCATCAAAATTAGTGGGGCCTACCAACTAACATTTTTTAAAGAATTCATTTTAAAGTGCTAAGCTTCATTTTGGATGCTAAAACTTACGGATGAGACTCCAAGAATTCAACCAAAATAATTCCTTATCATCTTAGCAACGTGAGTTGCTTCAATATTTCCTTCAAAACGTGACATTTCATAGCATTTTCAACAATTCAAAACGTGAGATTTTACAATTATAAGGGAGTACGGTGCAATCTTTTTCAAGAATATCATAAGATTTTTTCCCTACTTTGATCTGGTGTTAAGTGTTCTTTGCAAAAGATGTGTGCTAGAGGGATTGTCAACAAAACTGGCTCAGGTATGTTAAGGCTATCCCTTCTTTCTTTTTGGCATGATCTATACGACACGAACGAAATGAGCAAATGCACAACTTCCATAAATGACTCTATACATAGAAGTATTAGAGGTTCATATGTTCTTGAATTCCCACATGTCTTATTATTCTATCGTCTGTTCATGGGTCTCAGAAAATATGTAAGTTGATAAAATTTATTTCATGATATTAATCAAAGGTATAATGATCTCATGACGTTCCGAGAGATTTTATTGATGTACTTCTCATGCATTGCATTTATTTATACATGTACATTGACCCATGACCAGACGGCGTTATATGCGTGTATATATGTATATATATGCATATGGGATATGGAAAAAGGTTACGGCGTTATATACGCACCACCACCTGATCAGTTGGTATACGTTGATGATTTGCCCACAGTGGCCGAGATGATATGATTGGATGCCCTAAGAGGCTTAATGATGTTATGAACGCATATACCCATGCATGGTATGACATTTATACGCATATGCATGACATTATAATATTAAATATTTCACAGAGATATTCAGATATACATGTTGAGTCTTTTACTCCATGTTTCTCTCATGTCTATTGTTTACTGTTTTTCATTCCTTACATACTCGGTACATTATTTGTACTGACGCCCCTTTTGCTTGGGGACGCTGCGTTTCATGCCCGCAGGTCCCGATAGACAGGTTGAGAGTCCTCCAAGTAGGCTATCAACTTAGCGGAAGATGTTGGTGCGCTCCATTTGCTCCGGAGTTACTTATTTGGTCAGTATGATTTAGACATGTATTGATTGGTATGTCGAGGACCTGTCCCAGCCTTATGACGTTTATGTACTCTTAGAGGCTTGTAGATACATGTCGTGTATATGAAAGATTGTATGGCCTTGTCGACCTATGTTCAGTGTACGAGTGATTATTTTGGCCTTATAGGCCCGTATGTCATATGTATAAGTCAGTATATCAGGTTGGGTCATTTTATGTCGAGTGTTCCCTCATGTTTTATTCTCGTTACCTCATACGGCCCTTCTGGCTCATTTACCTATGTTGATGTAATAAGAAAGATACGTTGCATGGGTACTCGGTTGAGTAAGGCACCGGGTGCCCATCGCGGCCCATCGGTTTGGGTCGTGACAAAAGTGGTATCAGAGCAGTTCTATCCTAGGAGTCTACAAGCCGTGTCTAGTAGAGTCTTGTTTATGGATGTTTTGTGCACCACACTTATAAGCAGGAGGCTACAGGGCATATAGGATTGTCACTCTTTCTTCTTACTCTAGATAGTGTGGTAGAGCTCAGTTGTAAGAACTCAATTTCCTAAACTCTATCTTACTCATAATACGAAGATGCCTACATATAGAAAGACAATTGGTAAGGGATTGAATGTGGGTGTGGAAGAGTTGAGTCATAGAAATTCGATTTTGTATCATGCTTATGATGAGTAAATGTAAGGTCTCCAGCAGATCATGTGTGTACTTGATAACTAGGGATTCTAGTTCATTTTACACTCCTTTTCACTTGAGTTTTGATTAAAAATGTATACAAAATAGTCCCAAAGGATTACATGTTGTACTAGTTTGCAGGGTTTGGTCAAAAAGGTGACAATTAGTCAAAACCAGCTCAAAAAGGAGTGAAACATGCACAAGTACCAAGAACAAGTCCAAGCACAGTTGAAACAGATCCACTGCGGCCGCGATCCATTTAGTGCGGTCCGCAGTGGTGAGATTCAGAGAGGTGCAGTTTTTGGTAACTCAAGCACTGCGGCCGCAAAACCATTTGGTGCGGACCGCAGTAACCTCACCGCGGTCGCAAACCATTTTAGCGGTCCGCGGAGATGAGATTCAGAGAGTTATGAAGCGGAGATTGAAGCCAGCGTGGTCCGCAAGTCATTTTGTGCGGACTGCATTGAAGCCACCGCGGCCGCGGTGCATTTTATGCGGCCCGCAGTGGCCAGATTCAGAGAATGCAGAATCAAGCCAAAAAGCCTCAGCGTGGTCCGCGGTGCATTTTGTGCGGACCGCAATACCTCATCAGGGGTATTTTTGTCTAGAAAATTCGG